TTTTTTTTTTTTTTTTTTTTTTTTTTTTTTTTTTTTTTTTCAACACCCCAGGTATAAATTCGGTCGAGACATTCCTTGAGGGTGAGCATGCGCTCAGCAGTAATCTCAATTTACGCGTGTCAGCTTGAGTTGCGCAGGGGGCATGGTGATCTTCTCTGTTTCTTTCCAATTCCAGCGGACACCGAAGGACTACGCATCTGGTTTGAATAAGCCTGACTTCACCAATGGCCGTACCAACTGATCTAGCCCTGGGCGTACTAAGTGCTTTAGGCTAGATCAGTCGTTGCGCCCTTTATCTGATCTGATGAAATACAGCCCAGAGTTCGAATCCACATGCAAGTCGATGAGCAGAACAAAATGATTCTGAATTGCCTGGGCCCGGTGGGTTCGATGGTGATGTCTCTCATCCAGCGGTGAGTAACCATTCATCCAAGAAGCAACAACGAACATAGCAAGAATCAGGACATCCCCACAGAGAGAGAGAGGGAGAAAGGGAGAAAAGCAAGAGGTGGAGGACACGGCAAGGACGCCGCACACAAGGTTGTCGGTATGACGATGGTACTTCACTTAGTTCGTTCGGAAAAAAAAAAAACCAGGAACCAAGACAGTCGAGCCGTTAGATCACACACACATGCATTCAGGATACAGACAGTAAGGAAACGACGAGAATAGACGGACCAGGACAAGGACGGAACAAGACATGTCTCTTATACACATCTAGATGTGTATAAGAGACAGGACCAGGACAAGGACGGAACAAGACAAGGACACAGACTAGGAACGCAAGATAGGTCTCAAGTCAAAAATCATCCCGAACGCGACATTATCGGAAGAATAAAACATGAAGAACAGTTCCGGACATAGACATCCGGTTGGYGCATGACCCGACCGGTTTCGGCTGGTCGCCAATACCAGCACTCTTCAGGGGTCTTTAGTCGGTAGGAAGCCAGAGTATGTGATCCTATTTATCTTGCGTGGAGTTGTATCTACAATGTTCTAGGTACTACTGAACTAGTTCTAGTAGTGTCGACTAACAATCCACAGTTAAAAGTCCAGCTTCAAGAACCTTCAGGAAAAAACACACCGACATCACGTGATCGAAACCTTCAGGGACAGATGACTACCGATCGGAACACGCAAAAAAACACGGTTCGAGACAAAAGAACAAGAAAAAGAAAAACAAACAAGGAAAATACAAGGTCCGAACCTGCTACAGACTACCGTGACAATGACAAGGACACATCGCGGGTTCAAATCCTCGTAACGTACTAAAAAAACCCAACCACCAGGTCATCCCTGGGACCGACCGACCCGATTCCATCCAGTGAGTACTGGTACCCAATGTTGCCATATCCCCCCATATTTCCTTGAAAAATTGACCAAGGCATTATCGAAGATCTCGTCTGGGTACGTACGTTTCCAAAGCTCCATCTTCAGGGTAAATAAGAAGGGAAATTCAGTTCCAGGAACCGTAGCGAAGCGCCGTGCTCGATGTAAAAACGACCCAATAACAGCAATCTTCTGTTGCTTACTCGAATAGGAGCAGAAGTCCTGCACGCTCTGAAAAACCAACTTTCCACAAACTGATCCCCGCTGATTCTTGTGGCAGGGCATACACACCAGCTCTCCTACATTAAAAATCTTCAACACACAACCCAAATAGTCCCAGCAGTCCCCGACTTTCGTCTGCTCTAACACCAACCTACTATCATAACACACACGAAACTTCTCCAGAATCTTCAGGGCGTGACTCAACTCAGCGGAATCCCCTTTCTTGTAACGAACGAAGACAGAAACATCGTCGACCAAACGGAAACCGTAAAAGAGGCTCCTGTCATTTCCCAAAGAAGACAAAAAGAGAAATTCATTGTAGGCACACAATAAACATGCCAATGCCGGACTGGACGACTTTCCCATAGGTATCCCGACGTTCTGCTTCAACAAACTTCCGGCTGCCATCACGAAGGTATTATCAAGCTCAAACTTCACAAAAGACAGAACATTTTTGAACTTCAAAGAGACCCACCTTTCCTCTTGTTTTTTCTTCACCATTCTCGCATCCTTCCCACGTCTTTTAACGGCTACAGCAGTGAACTCCTTATTCTCCCAAAAATCAGTAACCCACAACACATCCTGCATGATCGGTTCATGGGGAAGATTAGAAAACATCTCCTTAACATCGTAAGAAGCCCCCATAACACATTCACCTTTTTTCAACCCTTTGTTGACGTTCTGCACACCCTTCACCAAATCCTCAACGCAACGTAGGTTAAGATTGGAGTGGGCTGGTAAATTCCACAGCATACAATTGACTGCTTTTGAAACCAACTTACCACCTTCAGACAAACACTCCGAAAAGGACGGACAAATAGGTCTCCACCTCTCAGTATCTTTGTGTTTAGGAATACAATATGCCCTGCCAAATTCCCCTTCCGTCTTCCACTTAGCAAAGGTATCTAGCCCAAGCTCCTTATACAGATGTGAAACTGACTTCAAAACCTCAGATTCCTCCGACGTACAAACAGAAAAAGCAGGATTGTCCAAGAAGAGCTTACTCATGCCGGTTCGATAAACAACGGGACAGCAAACGTACATGTCACCCAAATTATGATCAAGCGGGCAGCACACCAGTCCTCTCACCAGCTCACGAAATCTCTGTAACTCGTCAATGCTACACTCATTACTCAATCCAGTAGCACCCTCTGAATGATTGAAACAAGAAGGAAGCTCAAAAAAAATACTAGAACACGAGTCAAGAGGGGGAATAGATGATAAGGAATGAAAGGCATCAAGAATATCCCTCTTCAGCACCGCAATAGAAAGCGAACGGGAAGGCCTCAAAATATTCTTACTGTTTTTCATCCATTGTGGAAACGACTCTGATTCGGACACCCGAAAGGCCACGTGGTTCATCTTCCGTTCAAACTCAACGGATGCCTCCTCACAAACACAGATCGCCTTAAAATTTCTATCGAATCTTCGAAAATTATGCAAGCAATCACCAATAGTACGATTCTTGCACCAGACGACCCGCATACGCCGAACCAGAACATCCTTCCATACCAGTGGAATCTCAAGTTCGTAAATCAACTGCGCACACAGCCTTCTCACATAAGATTTACTTATCCGATCATCATAAACAATCCGTACAATAAGCCGTTGTCTAACTTGCACTCCAAACCGAAGAGAAATCGCTCTTGACAAAATACACCTCAAACGACCCCTTGTCCTTTTCTCACTAAAACTCTGAATCGCCGTAAAAGCCAACACTAAGGATTCAAAGGACCAAGACTGCAGAGACTTGCGAGAAAAAGGATTACTAAGAAGACAAATTAAAGCAGGCTTAAAAGCGAGCGATTTGCTAAGGAAGGGAACAACTGATTCAAAAATTAACGTAACACCATCTCTTACCCATCCTCGTGAATGTCAAAAAAGTCCTCGCCCAAGTTGACAGCAAACAATCGAACCGCCATAGGCACGCCGGAGCACTTTCCATCTATCAGACAACACCGAGCCTCCTCGACATCTAATCACACAGCGATGAACGGAGTTATCACGACAGTAATCAAGAACAGAAAGCAAACTGTGAGTTGCAACACTGAAATTCGAATAAAAGGTCAACAACGAAGTATCGCTTGACACAACCGAGACACCTGTGCCACGTTTTCGCCTTGCCTTCTTCAATCTCTCCCTTAACCCAGGGCGGTGTCGCTTGGACCGTTTGACCTTGTCTCTACTGTTAAGAGAGGGTAAGAAAAGACGAATGAAAAACTTCTCACATGTCAACACATCCGCTTCCGAACAAACACACAATGGAACAGCGATATAATTATGTGGCCCACATCGTCTTAACTAACGATACAACCTTTCATTCCTCTTGCTCTTCGACTCTACACTAGTACAACACGCCCTGTATACATGTTCTCCCCAACGAGTATGCAGATCTCTCGAAGTGCTACCGATATACAAATGTCGACACCACGGAGATATCAACGCATAAACCAACGGACCCTGTTGCAAATCAAAGTCAAAACCATTCGTAAATAACCGCAAGAAAAATCCACCAAATTTAACACCCCATGGTATTTGCCCAAGAACAATCAGGAGAAAAACCAATAGATAGAGGAGCGTGCTAAGTGCCCGACATCGAAGAAAATCAGCGGAAAGCAAACGGATTCTAACACAACAACACAACAATTTCCATAACCACGCCGCGTTCGGGTACATAACTACGAAGTAGCAGAATTATCGTTACCCTCCGCACTGTCATCCGTACCCGGACCGGCATCGTCGGTGACATCGTGTATAACCACGCCGCCCGTTTTTACTGCACCCACCTGGATCTTATCGATAGCAGCATCAACACGTTTAATAGCAATCTCCTCCTTAGTCTTATCCAGCGTGGTGTAAGTCACGCCCTCTTTGGCGCACAACACAGTGATCTCATCCTTTTTCATAGGTCGAAGCACCTTCTTCGTTTCCATCAAGAAGGCATCCCGATCATTCGCAGCTACCGCTTGTGCAGCCGGTGTCAACGGACGCTTACCTTTATCGCTTGTCCCAGCGGCCACCCGATCCAAACGTGCTTTCAAATTAGAGGCCGTTGGAGTCCATTTTTCCACATCCATTCTCGCCATCTTCTCTCTCAGGCGATCCACTTCCTGCTCAACCAATCGACGACTGTTAAGTTCTCGTAATCTCCACTCCTTCAGAAGCTCAATCTCATGTTCTTGGTGTTCGACTCGCTCTTTCAGCTTTAGCCCTTCAACGGACGGTGTTGGAGCTGGTGTGACCCGTGCCCGGGATAGGTGTGCTGGTAATCATAACACTTCCTCTCTTGTTACCGGGCCTTAGTGCCTCGACTTTCCAAACATCCGCCGCGTTAATAGCTTCCTCATTCACCTTCTTTAGCCTCGCAATCTCCTCCTCCATCAATGCAAATCTTTTCTCAGATCGTAGTCGTTCCTCTTCCAGTTCTAGTTTATACTTTTCAAACTCAGTTTCTGATGATGAGGCACCTCCAACATTCTTTTGTGCCTTTCTCAATTCCTAGATTTCAGTGCGCAACTTCGCCATCGCTTCTCCTTCAATACCCTTCTTCCCTTCAATCAACTCGCGAACCCCGTCCAACTTACTTCCAATTTGACTGTGAATTTGCGAGTAAAACTCCTCACGTTCTTTCTTTTCCTGTAACCCCAGCTTCTCTTCTTCTTGTTCTTTCTTCAACCGTTCCTCTTCCTGCTTCTTTGCTTGTTCTCGTGCCGCTTCAGCATCCTTCTCGGCCTTCAAGGAAGCGACAGTAGCCTCCAAAGTCTCCACGCGGGGACGTAGTCCCCGTCCATAGCCATAACCATATCCGCCGTGGCCCACGACATTATTTCCGACAGCAGGCATCGTCACAAGAGGAACATTCTGAGCGGGGACTATAGTAGTACTGGGGTTAGAAGGGGCAGAAGAGAAGGTGAACCGTCGGTCAGGTAAGGGACAGAAACGGGAGAGATGACCAGGCTGTCCGCAATTATAGCAGTTGCAAATCGCTGATGACTGACCGAAATGGGAAGCCATGCTATTACAAGGAACTAGACTCGAAGCCACACGAACGTAGTACTACTTGTACGACGGCTACCTCGTGACAGGAAGTTGTCGGTATGACGACGGTACTTCACTTAGTTCGTTCGAAAAAAAAAAAAACAAGAACCAAGACAGTCGAGCCATTAAATCACACACACATGCATTCAGGATACAGACAGTAAGGAAACGACGAGAATAGACGGACCAGGACAAGGACGGAACAAGACAAGGACACAGACTAG